AGGACCATACATTCTGCCACATCCCCATCCTCTCGCTGACATGTGGTTTGGCAAAGCTTTTCCTCAAGCTGATGAAGAAGCACAGGGAGATGCCAGAGTGGCAGTAACTAGAAAGCAGCACTTGGCATGGGCAGCAGTAACTGTTCCAAGGCAGTTTTCACAGGAGATGAGTTGTTTGCTTGATGACTAATTAATTTGCTTTAAAAACACATTTTGGCTCATTCTTAGAGTTATTTGCAAATGTATCTTGAATCAGTGTGTGTGTCAAAATAATCTGGTAGGCACAGCCTTATATTTACCAGATACTTTCCTTCTCCCACACAGCCTCCTAAAGGCTGGGGTCTACAAAAAAGCCTGGACCCCTAATCCACTACCTCTTCTTCGCTCTTGAAGGAGACTGTCCCATTTGTCCCCAACAATCAAAGCAGAGTCTGCTGAACAGAGGTGTGCTCTGTAGCTGCATATATATTGAGGCAAGCTTAAAAAATTATCCACGAAAAACCCTACCCAAAAACCAAAACCAACAACCCCCCCGCAAAAAAAAAAAAAGGTAAAAGAAAGGGGCATCTATCATGGTAGGTAGGACATAAACACCTAACTTCTGAGAGGAATTTCAGCCTAACTGCAGTGAATGTTTCAATGTTACACAGGCTGGATTAGCATCAACAGGAAAGATAATTTTTTTCTATTCCAGGAAGCCACTTCCATTTTTTGTTTTATTTTCTCCTATGCAATTTCTATTTTTTTATGTTCATAGAAATTTTGTGTGTGGGTTCCTGCATGTCAGGCTAAATGCATTCTCATGGGTTCATGCTTGCTCCAAGCTGATATGGGTTCAGACTGCCACTGACAAGCTGTTGTCCTGTCCTCCCTTCTCTGATTTCAGGGCTATGTATTCCCTCTCTCTCCTCTGCACCAGAGCTATCACTGTGTGGTCTGAAGGATAAAATAGAAGTGTTTTTTTCCTTTACTAGTTTTCAGACAGTCACCTTTTGCAGACTCCTTGGAGTTTCTTCCTAATATCTAAATCTACCCTCTTCCAGTTTAAAATGGTTACCTGTCATCCTTTGACTACACGCCCTGATAAAGAGTCCCTCTACATCCTTCCCATAGGCCCATTTAGGCACTGCAAGGCTGTCATAAGATCTCTCTGGAGCCTTCTTTTCTCCAGGCTGAACAACCCCAACTCTCTCAGCCTGTCTTCATGGCAGAGGTGCACCAGCCCTGTTTTCAACTTAGTGGCTTTCCTCTGGACTTGCTCCAACAGATTCATGTCTTTAATATGATGGGGAGCTCAGAGTTGGATGCAGTACTTCAGGTGGGGTCTCACAAAAGTGGAGTAGAGGTATAGAATCACCTCCCTCAAACTTCTGGTCATGCTTCTTTTGATGCAGCCCAGGATACAGCTGGGTCAGTTTTTCCCCTGCACATACCCATAGGGCTGCTCTGAATCCACTCATCACCTAGCCTGTGTCCATGTTTGGGATTGCCCCAGCCCAGGTGTAAGGCCTAACACTTGGCCTTGTTGAACTACATGAGGATTGCACATGCCCAGCTCTCAAGCCTGTCAAGGTCCATCTGGATGGCATCCCTTCCTTCTAGAGTATTAGTCATGCCACTCAATTTAGTGTCATCTCCAAATTTGATGAGAGTGCCTTCAGTCTCACCATCCATGGCCCTGATGAGGATGTCAAATAATACGGGTTCCAGACACTTGAGGGACACCACTCGTCACTGGTCTTCAAGCAGGCATCAAGCTATTGACCACAACTCTTTGAATGTGACCATCCAGCCATTTCCTTATGCACTGAGTGATTCATCCATCAAATCCATGTATCTCCGTTTTAGAGACAAGGACGTGTGTGGGATAGCATGAAATGTTTTGCACAAGTCCAGGTAGATGACATCAGTTGCTCTTCTCTGATCCATCACTACTCAAACTCTGTTGTAGAAGGCAACAAAATTTGTCCTTTCTGCTGAGTTTTATCTTATGCAGTCATGTAACTGCACACTGCAGTAGCAGTATTTTCCCTGGCTGAGGCTCAGCTGTCCTTCATTAGCATCAGCCTGGGAAGGGAGCAGGGAGGAGGGAAATCAATGTATAAGTTTTGACTCTGCTGCTGCAGTAAGTGAGGCTTGTTGAATGAAAGACTTGGACAGAAACCAAGTGAAGTGGTGGTACGTAGGGCTGCTGCAGAACTGAGGTGTTAACGACATGCTGGCTAGGAGGAGTAAATGGAATCTGAGGCAATGTTGCACTCTTACAGCATCTTTGTTGGGTATGGGAGATGGGAATTAAGCTTATATGTTATAGTGTTTCCATATGGAGCTACTGTTCTGCATGGAACTACAGTAACGTTTGTGATGAGCGTGGAAGGGTAAACAGTGTTAGATGCTTCTGTGGTTCCTCGTTCCTTTCCTTTCTGAAAATATAGTAGCAAGAATACAGGGAGAAAAAAAGCAGGTGGCGTTACTGAAATATGGATTCTGTAATTCTTAGAGGGTGTGAAGGATTAATTTTTTTTTATGATTGCAGTATACCAAGTGAGAATTGGATCCTTCTCAAAGTGAGGAATTAGTTATGCTGCTTACAAGTTGGAATAATGCAAGGGAGCACCACACGGTCCTCCTGTTGTGATGCCAATGCACCTGTACAATGTCTTCTGCTCTATTTCCAGACTTATTTTAGGCAATGTTTATTTGTGTCTTGTGTGGCTTGTAGTAAGATAGAAGTTGTGAGTAAGCATTAATATAGACAGTGTCTCATCTTTTAACAGTGACAAGATATGGGAGAATCATTGTGAGTTAAGATGGGATAACCTGTCTCGTAGAGATGTTTATCCTGTTTTTGCCTTCCAGAGTTCTGGTTCACTGCTAATTTTATAACTTTAAATCCCAATTTTATTGATCAGTCTTAAGGTTTTGGCATTTGCTTCCCTGCTGTGAAGACTTATTTGTCTTTTTCCTTTCTGTCTCCTAAAATATGAACCCTCCCTAGTTTCATTCAGTGATCAGTTATTCTCATGTCACGTAAAGCAGAGCACAGAAAGCCTGTATTTTCTCTGTGCCATTTTGTTGTTTTGTATCATTGCGTTGACCCTTGTAATCTCTCCTTTGTAAAGTAAATAGTCACAGTCTTTTCTGTCTCTTCCTATATCCAAATTTATCCAAATCCTTTGTTATTCCTACTGCTATTATTGTTTGGGTCCCCTCTATCATTGGAGCACTTATGGTTTGAGATGCTGTTACAAGTGCAAGATGTGGCATGGCTGATCTACACCATTTTATTCATAATTTATTTCTTTTGACTATAGTTAATAATTTAATTTAAAAGAGTGGTCTTCCTTGAGAAGTGTTCTGTGACACTGAGGTGTCTTTACTGAATGAAGAAAGTTTCCTTTAAGAGTACATATAATTACATTTTCTCCCTCTAGTACATGCTGATTGCAATGTGGAGTTCATCATGATACTGTTTCTTCACCAAGTATTTTTTAGGTTTATCCTGAGATTCTTCAGTGTTATTTCTGGTCTTTCCTGACCCAAATAATTGTGTATTGTCTAAAGACTTTGCCACCTCATTACTCATCTTCTTTTCCAGATCAAGAATAAATGTAATAAGCAACACAGAGCTGAGTTTACCAAACCTGTTTCTTGACATGAAAATTTATTATTTGGAGATGTCAATTAGACTACTCAGATGATTTGGTTAATTATTTTTATTTCCATTTCAATAGCTAAAAAACTAGATTGCTGTTACTTTTTTTTTTCTCTACAAAAACCAGAACAAAACTAAAGGTCTACCAAAATTATCTTACAGACCCTGTCCAGAAGAATTTCAAATCCCTATTTGGAAACTTCTTCAAATAAGGTACTTGTCAAGCCTCCTTTTAATTCCATTTAATCAAACAACATATTAGGAATGTTTTTGCTTTGGTTCAACCTCTTAATCATAGGTTTGAAGACACTTGTGAATGTGACCTGCAGTTAAATCCAGTTAAGAAATTATAATTTTGTGTGTGTGTTACAAATCATGTCCTTCTATTAGTGAGTTTGCAAACTGAAGTATTGTGAATTTCGATGTGTGCTCATTTCCCAGTCATCTAAATTATTGCCACTGTTTAGCTTACCTTTGCAATATTTGAGAACTCTGGTTTTGCATGTCACAAGACTTTACTGTCTCAGGACTATTTTACATGCCTTGAAAGATTCCTAAATATAGGAAACAAACAAACAAAATAGTGAAACCAAACAGGATTGTTTTTCTTTCAAGTTAGTTATTTATGTTACTGATGTGTTTTGCTGGGACGGTGAGGGAACATCTCAACAGGAGCCCAAGGTAAATTCATCAGTAAGGAGCAGTATACAGAGTCCACATGGAATATGGTTTTATAGAAGATTGAGCTGGGTCCTGTTTTCATAGAGACATCTTCAACCTTGAGGCAGCAATCAGGCAAGACCACATCCTCCTGTCAATGCACAGATGAATTAACCTGTATCTACCATAGGAAACCTCCAAAGGTTCTGAACAAAAAGAAAAGACTATGAAATGCCCTTTCAATGTGTATTAGGCTTGTATTAAATTCTGTAATTCAAATGCATATGAAATTATGTTTATTTTAAACTGTATTTTTGTGATTTTACAATTATTAAAATAGTCTTTTCGCTTCCTAGAAAAAACACATGTTTTTGTCTGAACTTGTCTGTTGTTCAAAAGTAAAGCTGATGGATAGTAAAATCTCTGCTTTTCTAAGGCAGCAAATCTAAAAGCAGCCCAGCTTCTGGGGGTATCTGCAACCCATGATAGAATTGGGTATGGCAGAAGTTGGGGTGAATTTCCTATGAGGCTTTGACTGCTTGCTTGTAATTTTTTATGACAAGAAGGCAACACTCAGAGGGAGGGAGTGCTTAGTGGCAAGACAATTTACT